AGGGAGAGAGAGAGAGAGAGAGAGAGTGTGTGTGTGTGTGTGTGTGTGTGTGTGTTTGTGTGTGTGTATCTGTGTATGGTGTGTGTGCATACTTACCTGCGAGTGTAACAACACACGCCAGAGTATGTTTGTAATGGGATGAGTGGGCGAAAGAAAGGAGAGTGATAAAGGAAAAAAAAACTACCAACCAACCCCCCCCACAGCATCAACCGAGTATGGTTAGGAAAACAGTGACGTCAGAACGTACCACTGATAGCGACGTCACACGCGGTGTCTGAGACATTTGGTTTGATGGCTTCAAGTAGAGTGTACTCTGGAGACTCGAAGGCTACGGATGGGGAGGACGCCATGGCTTTCAGCGCGTCGTAGTCGACTTTGTCACCGATGCCGATAGTTACAAGCTGGACGCCTGTACTCTTCAGCTCTTCCGCCTCGAGTAGTGCTCTCTCCGCTGTGGACAATTTTGTTAACCTGGTGAGACTGCTCTGTATGATTTGAGACTGAATTTCTCGGGCCCGTTGAAGCTGGGGATTGTTTGAGTTTTCTGTTTGGGAGAGCTCGTTTTTTGAGCCAATTTATAATCGCGCTGCTTCACATCACAGAATTCACACTCCCAAAAATTACTGATGTTCTGATTTCAGAAATCGGAATATCAATTAGAAAGAGAGCGATTATAGCTTGAACTAAAAACGGATGGAACATTCTGGTTGTGTTGCTCTTGGTAAAGGCTTGATTTGCTGCGGTCCTTTGACGCTGCAGCCATAGTTCGTGCGGTTTGTTTGTGGGTTTGATTCCTTCAGTCATTTGACGCCATCAGTATACCAATAACTGGTTTACTTTTTTTGCCCCCCCCCCACGAAAAAACCCATTAGAAATCTCTTTGGCCCCGCATGATTAATGTATCCTACACAGTGACAGACTGGAATAGTCACTCCTCTTAAAGCCGACCACACCGATATTGCTTGTAATTCAAATGAATGTATCTCTAGTCAGAGCTAACATTACCAATGTCTGTGGTGTAGCGTTTAGGCTCCTCGCTGTAGCATGGAAGAGGAGACCCGAGTTCGATTCCCGGATGGGAAGAAACCCCCCCCCCCTCCCCAACTTTATCGAGTATCTCGGTCTTTCTGCGAAGATGTATCTATCTCAGCCTGGGTTGGTTCTGAAAGGAAGGATGGGAGGCCTGTCTCCTAAATGATGTAAATTGTGTTGATGGGAGTGTAAAATGCCTACATTAAAAAGAGCTAACATTCCAGTTTGTCCTTAAATGGTTTGTCAATTCCATGAGTTTAAGCTTTAAACTGCTCTGTACTCCATAAATCAAGTTTGTCGTAACTAATACGGCCTCAGGATACACTGGTCTACTTGCTCTCTAGCAACCAGTTGTTGTTTTGAGTGAGCAGACAAATCGATTGGACGAAATACGATGTACACGTACTCGGTAGTCTTAA